GCTATCACCTCCGTATTTTAGTAGTAGCCGTGCCTACCGGTATCCTGGCGCTTGGATGCACGAATCTCGCAGTAACGTTCTCTCAAGTGGGTTGCAATCGAGCTCGATACGTCGCCATGGCTGGACCGTCCCACTGTGGACTGTTTTTGTTTCGTGACTTTGCATTTTACTTGAATGCTGCGAGCGCTACTTCTCGACAGCGTCGCCTCGGCGGCCACGTGCCCGTACACGTCGCTGGGCGGCACTTCGATCCTCGCCGGCGACGCCACTTGCGGCAGCGACCACTGGTGCCTCCTACGCCCGTCCGACTGCACGCGCCTCCAGTACACCTACCACGCGACGGACGATCTGTTTTCGTATCTTGGCGCGCTTGGCAACCTCACCACGTACACCAACACCGAATTGTCCGACGCGTCCTCGGTTTGGCCCGTCTAATCTTTTGCTGGCATAGAACCGTGATGAAATCCAACCGCATTGACCTCTCACGTATGGTGCTCCCACCGACCCTACAAGCCCTGTATGTACCACATATCCAATGTTGTTGTCGCTTGAATAAACATGACTAGCTCCTTCAAGCACGTGGCGTCCTTGTCGTCGTTCAGCGACCTCAACCCGTCGTCGTGGTCGGAGCTGACCTCCTTGTTGCCACCTCGGTCAACACACGAGTCCTAATGACTCTTCGATAGGAGCTTGGAAAATTGCTCCTTGTCACGGCTTCCGTTGCCACTGCCGTCGAACGTCAGCACATTGTACGACCCATCGCTGCGTCATTTCGATCATGACATCTTTGACTAGGAAAGTGGTTTACAACGCAATCTCGAGCCTGGCCGACTTGCCCGCGCAAGTGACCTTCCTGTGTGCCTTTGGTCTGCGTACGGGAGTTGGAACTGAGCATTTCGTAGCGACGTTGGCCGGAACAATGTGAGTCGCGTCAGCAATGCCAATTGGTCGTCCGTCACCTCTGTGTACGCATTCCGCTTGTTGCTGCATGTGACGTGGCGTAGGGATCTCTCCTCCAACCCGCTCCGAACGTTCGCCAACGTCCAGTTCTCGAGTCGCCTTGTCTACTTGTACACATTGTTTGTTGGAAGATGCTCAAGTTGTACGATGTAGCAACATTGAATTCTGCCAAATCGACAACTTTGTGGTCGATACGCCAACGTTCGCAGCGCTCAACACCCTTGCTTCCGCAGGCGACACGTTTGACGCTGACGGCGTCAAACGCCCGGTCGGCTACCGGGTCAGCGAGAATATTGACACCAACCCGGCGGCCTGTGCGGCGGTCCGCGGCCAAATTCACAAACTGTGGCCAACGTCCGGGTACACCGTCAACGTGTGTCTGGCCGATGCAGGTAGCTCGCTCGCTGCAACAATGCGTTGCGTCATGCGTGTCGACATTGCAGGCCTGGAGTGGACGCCCGCGTACGACAAGATCGCGAATCCTTCGAGTGCTTCGGCAAATAATGGTACGTCATCATTTGCAGTCGCCGGTGGTATCGATCCCTGTCCCAATAGACACTGGCCTTGTCGTTGGACTTGTCGTCGGCGGTCTTGTCATTGTCGGACTTGTCATATTCTTCATCAAGCGCCGCCAGTCAAAGA